ACCTTTAGGTTGAATTTGACCCCTTAAAGATGGAGGCGAATGTACAAGTTCTGATTAAAAGAAAAACAAAACAAAACCTAGAATTTGAGTTCTATGTCTATTCAATCATAATTTACCTCTTTCATACCCACACTTATTACATATAATTTTGTTTAGAAGAAACAGGGCTTTCATTTCACATCATGTTTGTATGTGAAGCATAATGTAATATGAATAAAAGGTGTGAGAAATTAAGACATTTAGTTATTTCTCAAGTTCTACATGGTATTTTAACTGTGATTGTCATAATACACTTAGCTGTTACTGCAATAAACTGACATATTTGTGATGTCTGACAAGTACAACAATCCCCTCCATGTAGAGATTTCATGGTGTTTTGGAAAGTTACATGGTCAATTAAGAGCTTGCCTATTTCAGTTTTTACATGTTGGAATTTGACATATTGGTTTGCTGGACCAATGTTGCCTTTGAGATAGTATGGCAGCCCAGGAACAAGAATTATCTTTGGCATATCTTTTTCAAACGTTAAAAACCAAGTGTATACAAAATGGGGCCCAGTCTTGTTTAATAGCCACTTAGTCACAAACACTGGCCAAACTTAGTGTTCATAATTTTTTTCTCCATTTTTCATACACAAACTTCACTTTTTTTGATGATATACTCGTCATATACATTATATTGTTTTAAAACACTCATATTTGTGTTCAGTAATGTCTCATGAGTACATGCATAGGTTTTATGTGGTTTTGGAAAGTTACAGGGTCAGATATAGGGCTTGCAAATTAATTTGATATTTTCCCCAGGTCCCACAATATATGATTTTATTACATGACAGGAGGCTTCATATTTTGCATAAACTTCCTTTACTACTCCATAGCAGCAAAGAACATAGGAAAAAAAGGAACCAATCAGAGATGGGTAGAGTATATAACATGCACCTCCCATTGGGGCACTTCCTCTTTCTTTGCTGCTCCATCACAAGTCAGGTCAGAATATTGTGTGACTACACATCTATTGTCTTGTCTTGTCTTGATATATGTTTATATGTTTGTATTTTATTTTCATTGCTTTATTGTAATATATATATATTGTGTGAATTGGGGGCCTTTGTGGCTGTGGGTACGCTCTTCACTGGGATTACCTACTGTAGGGTACTTTGGGTTTGTCTATGCCCTTTTCCTTACCTTTCCCTCACCCTGTCTCCCTTCCCATTCCCAGTTTCCTTAGGTACTACCATAACCTGCCATCATTTGTACCCTCAATGCTTCTGGTGGCTACACTCGCCACTGCAGGAGTGCTCTTGCAACGCTACATGCACTCTTCAGGGGACGTTAGGCACTGTTGAGGCACTCCCACTTGTCAGGCATTCGCCTTTTGCATGCGTATATGCGATAGCATTCCCCTGTTTTGGTACATCAATTTACAGAAAGTGTATACCTACACGCTTTTGGTGGATTTTGTACTCCTGGATCAGCCATTCGAGCCATTCACACACTGAAAGCAATTAAACCCTTCGTGTTCAGTTGATTTTTTTTCCTCAGGGTTCAAAGTTTTCCCGAAAGTACACATTTGTGGTTTTGTAAGCATTCATTTCTTTCTGCCAGATCAAACACCGTTTGCCTGTTGTTTTTGTTTGTTTTTTTCAGTTTGTACCCTACTTGTGTCCGTTCACCTGTTTTCCTGGAGAATGTTTGTCACATTAGCCACGAACCATGGTTCTAGGTTTTTTTCATGGCCATTTTGGATCTCACATCGCAAGATCTGCGGCGGCCATCATAAACCTTGTTGGTTGTTAGGAGTTTCACCTGGATATTAGTATTTCTTTGTGTGCTGAACAGAATTGGGGAAATTTGTGCAGAATTCACTTCTGTATACCTTGCCCTCTCCAGGGGCATTTTACAGGCTAGTGTCAATCTCGGAGTGGGTCAGCTGGTCAGGTCTCGACCTATTTATCCAGCTTGGTGTGTATATTGTGCATGCCGTTTCGTTATTTCCTGGTTGAGCCCCAGCATTTTGCCTCAGTCTACATTAATGTGAGTCACATATTTAGACCATTTTACACCCTCTGGCAGTCCCTGCTACCAATTTGCCTCAGCACCTATTTATCTCATGGATTCTAATTTGGGTGAGCCCCAAATATACCTGCGTACTATTATGCCCTCAGATCTCCAGTCACTGATCAGCATGGCGTTGTCCGCATCTGTAGAGTAGGCTTTGGCTAATATGTTACCTGTCAGTCAAGACACAACAAAAGTGCCTCCTCGGACAAGGTGCAGGATGTTCCCCCTTCACTATCCATTCTAGATCGATGGCAGGCTGAAGACCCCCTTTCAGATGACTGTACATTCCTTTTTTAAGAAGTCATTCCTGTATGAGCATTAGAAGATGGGAGCAACCAGATGGTGAGTTCTTTTTAAATTCCACAGACCAATGGATGTTCGACCTAAGTAATATCCGCCACTCTGCTCGGGTAATTGGACGCAGCCTCCTACTTTACTAAAATTCTGGCTATACAAGGCATTGGACAAAGCTCCATAAACGTGCCCCAGACCTTCACTATCAGATAAGGCCACATACACCCCAGAGTTCGACCAAATGATGTTGGCCTTCATGACAAGAAGAGGTAGACACCCAAGGAAAACGGGTTTAGGGAGCCTAGGAAAAGCTCCTTCATGCAATCAGGCCACTCTCACATGTTATGACTTTAGCAGACGAGGCATCCTCTCTAGCTTACTCCTTCACAGCAGATACGGTGTGAGATTGGGCACATGACATCCATTAGTGGGCCCAATAATGCTTTTACTTTTTGGACAACCCAAATGTGGCCCTCTTTATGATTGATCGCAAATTGGTGGACCTTGGGGCCAAGGAACTGGACCCAAAGGCAAGGGGAAAATTATTTGGTGAATAATTGAACAAACATGTCAAGGTGTTAATGTCCCTTTAACAAAACGCAAACCTTGTTGCACAAAGGGTTGGTTGGGAGAGGTGTCATGCACTAGCCATTTATAGACATCAGGTCCCAGAAACATGTGCCCTCCAGCATTATACCCAAAAATAGGTGGTCGGCAGCCTTTCCAATATTCACGAAGTTCCAGAAGGGGCCACGGAGGCCGTGGACGAGCTTGTGCAAACTTCTCAGCAGGTAAGACAATGTAGTATGCCCGGTCTACTATCCTCCTCTATCCAGACAATTTTCCTGGGCCCACTTCATTACCAACCTGTGCAATGCCTAAAAGCTTGTTTCCTCAGACAGAACCCCACTTACGATCAGTCGGTTCCAATGATGGAGGAAATTCAACAAGAACTTCGATGGTGGCGCGAATGCATGTAGGTTTGGAATAGCCAAGCTATCTTTGGCAAACATCTGGATTTCATTCTGAAATCAAATTCCAGCTAGTGGGGTTGGAGTGCCACCCATTGGAAAACAGCCACAGGTGAAGTTTGGACCATAGAAGACCTGCATGTTAATTGCTTGGAACTACTGGTTGGCACCTTCGCTATTCAAAGTCTAGTGAAAGGGAGAACCAATTTTTGAATCCTACTGCATATGGACAATGTCTCCGTGGTTCGGTACATCAACCACCTAGGTGGCACTTGCTCATTGACAGAACTCAGGAAGGAAATCTTCTGCATTTCTGTTACTACTGCCTTTCCCATATCACATTGATGACGGAACATCTGCCAAGAGAACCTAATCTGACTGCAGACTAGTTCTTCCGACACTGGCAGGACAGCAGCAATTTGTAGACTGCAAGAAGTAGCGATTCGCCTGGTGGCCCATTTGTGGCCAAGTCAACCCTGGTTTCTGGATCTCCTCGCACTATCGTGTCAGGTTCCTCTTCAATTATCAGATGATGGTCACAGATCCTACGGGATATCCACAGACCATGCTTCATGAAGGACGACTCTCTTTAGTAGCCTGGAGTTTTTCAGGGGTGCCTGGTGTATCGATGAACTATTGTCAATGGCTAGAAATATTCTCTGGGACATATGGACCCCAAGAATGAGGAGATGTTTCCTCTCAGCTCTTGGGCCAAGTGGTGTGTTGGATGGAATATTGATTCCTTTACGGCCTTTGTATCCCCATTATTGGATTTTCTGGTGTTCTAGTCCATTACTGTAGTTCGTTCTGTGATTTTGGTGGATCACATCCCAGTCCAAGGGAAACTGATAGGTCAGGACCCCTTAGTTTGTAGACTGCTTCAGGACACCTGCAACAAAATATTACTCCTTATGGGACGTAGCCCATGTTCTTCATTTTCTAAAGGAGTGGCCTTCTAACGACAGTTTGTCTTTGTGACAGTTGACTGTGAAATGTATTCTCCTTTTGTGTTTGGTATACTTTCATCTTGTTTTGGATGTTCGGGCCTTTGATGTGGACGCCTTCTCTTTTTCTCCAGACGGTGTCACTTTTTGTGTGCCACAATGTACCAAGTCGGATTCAACGTCAGACGTTTTTCTGTTGGAATCCCAACACTGTGTGATCGAGACACTCCACGCTTATGTAAATGCTACAGCTATGCTATGGTCTACCTCGTCCCAACAACTGTTGGTCTCCTATGTTAAGCCACATGGACCAGTCTTTGTTACCACCTTGTCCCGATGGGTGCTATGGCTTTTATCTTTGGCCGGGATTGATCCATCTTTTGGCGCGCATTTGTTTCGGGGTGCGGCAGCTTCATCCACCTTCATGGTGGGAGCTTCATTATCAGACATCTTGATCGTGGCAGACTGGTCATGGGAAACTACTTTTCAGACATTCTTCTTTTGTACATCTTCTAATTCAGCCTTTTACCTGTTACCTTAGCATAAAAACTGCAAAATATAAAGGCTTGTGTCACGTAATACAATTGAAGATCATGCTAGCTTTAGTGTACTAATAATCTTAATTTTTTTTTCCAATATAGTTTTTATTAGGATTTTGTTTTATTGTTTACAAAAACTGAACAGTGGGTGATATGTAGTATCACAAGAATACAAAAAGTTGTGGATACAAGGCAACAATAGGTATAACATATAGCACGGTAACAAGTAACATGTACAAGGGTTCCCATACAGCTTGTAGTTGCATGGGGGAGTCTACACAGTTGCGGAGGTGTTTTATGCGCTCGTTCATTGAGCGTCCTATACAACATTTTCATGCTTATCGTGGGCTTCTATTCTGTGGGTTGTCACGGGTTGGGGGTGTCTGTCCGTTTGTCACACAGCTCTTATTGTTTGGTGTCGTATAAAGTTACCCAGGGGGCCCAGGTCGTGTGGAATCTTTGTGTTGTTTTTGCGTCAGGGGCGGTCATACATTCGTACGTGTAGTATTGCTGTATTTTATCCCATAATTTGGCTTTGGTAGGACAGAGTGTGGATTTCCAGTTGCAGGCTATTAAATTTCGAGCTGCCAGGATGGTGATTGCACTTAGTTGTTTGTGTGCATATTTAAACGATGGGGGGAAACGCATAAGTAGGAATAGTTCGGGGTTGTTTCCAATGTGTGGGACATTAAAGGCACTTAGAGTGTTTTGTACTTCTACCCAGAGGGGTTGTATGTTGGGACATGACCACCATATGTGCGTATGTGTGCCTGTCTCAGCCGAACATCTCCAGCAGAGAGGAGACGTATTGGGGTCAATTTTATGGAGAGTGTAGGGAGTTAAGTGCCATCTGTACAGTAATTTTCTATGTGCTTCTATATGGGTGTAGCACTTAGTCCATTTAGATATGGCGTTCAGTGCATGAATCCATTCGTCATCCGTGAGTTGGATAGTGCATTCTGTTTCCCACATTTCTTTGCAATGCGGTGTTGCGTTGGGCAAGGTACTGTCCCATGCCCTATAACAGAGGGAAATACTGTTCTTTTTCATAGGGCCTTTCCAGCATCTTTCTATTACTGCTTTTGTTGGAAGGGGGCTCTGGTCAGGGGGTTGTTGTTGCTTGTTTACGTGTGTGTTGATGATCCCTTTTAGTTGTAGGTATGTGAAAATAGCGTTTGTTGGCAACTCCCATTTCGTTTGTATGTCTGTGAAGGGTAATATTTCTTGCGATTGCATTATCTGGTGAATATGTCTAATGCCTGCATGTACCCATGTCTGTAGACGTATGTCTGGTAATATGGCTCTTAGGGCGGTTAGAGGTGCGTTGGGGTGGAATGTTTCTTTGGCCCCTACTGTATCTAAGAATTTAGACCAAATGTGGACGGTCAGTGTTGTGGTGGGGTATAGGTTTGGTTTGTCTGGTCTATGTTTTGTCGGTGTCCATAGGAAGTCGAGCGTTGCGTTTTTGTCCAGTTGGGCTCTTTCCATGTCTACCCATTGGATGATACCCCGATTTAAGTGCATCAGTATGCCCGATGCCAACATCGTGGCTTTATAATACTGGTTTAGGTTGGGTAACCCTACTCCTCCATTTTTAGGATGTTTGTAGAGTAAGGTGCGGGATATGCGTGGTTTCTTGTTTCCCCATATGAATGAGCTGCAGATGTTTTGTAGGGAGTTGAGGAGTGTTTGTGGGGCTTGGATGGGAAGCATTCTAAATATGTAGAGAAGTTTGGGCAGTAACATCATCTTGTATGCGTTAATTTTTCCTAGCCAGGAGATGTGCGTTTGAGACCATTTTTGTAAGTCTCTTTTGCATTGTTGGGGAAGCGTGAGGTAATTTAGTTTCAGGATTTCTTCTATTGTTGGTGCTATTTTTACGCCTAGGTATGTTAGTGATGTCTTTCTCCAGTCAAAGAGGTAGTTATCTTTCAGTATTGTTTTGGTGGCTAGTGGGAGTCCGACGGGAAGGGCCTGGGTTTTATCTTGATTCAGGCGGTAATGTGAGATGTCGCCGAATGTTTTTAGGGTTTCCATGAGGGGTGGCAAAGACCGCTGGGGGTCCCCTAGCGTTATCAGGATATCGTCGGCGAATAGCGCCAATTTATATTCCTGTCCTCGAATTGTGATTCCTTTTATGCAAGGGTCTGTGCATATTTTTTGGGCCAATGGTTCTAGCGATAGGATGTAAAGGAGGGGGGATAGGGGGCAGCCCTGGTGTGTCCCGTTAGTGATCGTGAATTGGTTAGATAGGAAGCCACCGTGAGCTACTTTAGCTGCTGGTGATGCGTAGAGTACCATGATTCCTTTGATGAATTCAGCAGGGAATCCATATTTGGAGAGCACTTGTCGCATGTACGTCCAGTTGAGTCGGTCGAAGGCCTTCTCCGCATCTAGTGCTAGGAGGAGGCCCCCGACCGACCCCCTACCCATTGAGGTTAATATGTTGAGGGTTTTCCGGGTGTTGTCCGATCCCTGTCTCCCCCCAACAAACCCCGATTGATCATTGTGTATCAGTTGTGCTATTATCTGGGCTAGTCTGTTGCTCAGTATCTTTGCATATAGTTTGGCGTCGCTGTTTAGTAGAGATATTGGCCTAAAGTTTTTGCATATATTCGGGGGTTTCCCTGGCTTGGGTAGCGTGGAGATGTGGGCTAACAGCATTTCTGAAGGTAGAGTTCCCGTGTCGTTACAGTGTTGGTATACGTTTAAGAGGTGTGGTGTAATGTGTTGGGAGAATACTTTATAATATCTGTTCGGAAGACCATCTGGTCCTGGTGCTTTGTTAATCGGTAGGTCTGCTATGGCTTTAGCTAATTCTTCGGCGGATATCGGTTGTTTGAGTTTGTGGATGTCGTCTTGTGTAAGTGATGGTAAGGTAATGTTTGCCAGAAAGGCGTCAATGGTAGTCAAGGAGGGTATTTGCACTGTTTCGTCCTCTTTTAGATTATACAGTTTGTGGTAATAGTTGGCAAATTTGTTTACAATTTGTTTCGGATCTAAAATTTTTGAACCATTGTTGTCAATAAGGGAGGCAATCCTGGGTGCGACCGATTTTTGTTTGAGTTGTGCAGCCAGTTTTGCTCCGGCTTTGTTACCATAAGTAAAGTATTTGTGTTTGGATTTTTGTAGTAAGTAAGTGGTTTTGGCCAGTTCAAAGTATCTTAGTTGTGACTGGGCTTTTAGTAAGGCTGCTTGTGTAGTGGGTGTTTGAGATTGTTTATTTTTATGTGTAAGTGCAGTTATCACTTCTATTAATTTTACATATTGGGCTTGACGTGTTTTTTTTGCTTGGCTTGCGTGTTTGATGAAGCTGCCCCGTATCACAGCCTTATGGGCTAGCCATAGGTATTCTGGCGTGGTATCGGATCGTGTGTTTTCAGTAAAATAGTTTTGTAGATCTGTGGTAATCTGTGAGATTATTACTGGGTCGTTGAGCAGAGATTCATTGAGTCTCCAGGTTGATCTGCCGGTAGACAGGAATTGCTCAGTTAGAGTTAGGGTGATGGGGGCATGATCCGACCAGGAGATAACACCAATATCTGTATTTATTAGTCTTGTTAGAGATGAAGCCTTAATGAGGAATCTATCGATTCTAGAATAGCTGTTGTGTGCAGCTGTATAGCAGGTATAATCTATGTCTGCCGGGTGTGATATTCTCCATGGGTCTATAAAGTTGTGTGTCGTTAGTGTGTGGCATATTTGGGATGTTTGTTTGTGGCTTTGTGTTAGTGTTTTGGAGGTTACCCTTTTGGAGGAGGATAGTCCATATTTGCGTCCAGGAGAGAGTTAGTGTCGCCTCCAAGAATTGCCTCCCCAAAGCTGTACCTTGACAAGAGACAAAACATATTATCTATGAATACAGGTTGGCTTTCGTTTGGGCTATATACATTCATCAAAGTATATGGTTGGTTGTTGAGACGGCATTGTAATATCGGATATCTGCCCTTTTTATCACTGATTTTGCGAATGAGTTCAAAGACAACTGATCTGTGAATTAGGATCGAAACTCCTCTTTTTTTTTTATGGTAGCAAGTGTGATAATCTACAGGGAACCAAGGGGAGGTGAATCTGGGCGTAGATCCCCATTTAAAATGGGTTTCTTGAAAAAAGGCCACTTGTGCCCCATGTCTTTTGGCCTCTTGGAGGGCTAGTCTGCGTTTGTTGGGTGTATTTAAACCCTTGACATTAAGAGAGAAGAATTTTAGTGGCATGTTGCTTGGTTTTATGGTGATATTCGGGTAGACACTTATGTACCTTCTCCAGTAATGGAGTGTTTTAGGCGTTAATGTTTGTTACCGAGACTGTGAGAGTGGACTTTTTTGGGTACAGGGATAGGGTTGGGGTTAAACTATGTACACTTGCCTGTTAGCCTCGAGGGCCTGATGCAACAGTGTGCAGACGGGTATTTAATGGCTCACTAGTGGGCCGTCGTTAGGGGTCAGTGGAAGTTTGGTATGAAATAAATTGGTATTCCAAAGTGGAATAGATAATTATATTCGCAGTCTTAACACTTGTATTCTAAACAATATCAGTTATAACAATCGAAGGTTGAGCAGTGTGGGTTTTCCGCCAGCAGTGGGCCTATGTGAGGTGGCCACTTGTGCGGTATCAATACTTTTTTTTTTTTTAGATTGGATAGTGCAAACCAGTCATATAGTAATACAACATCAATAGTACTAGCTGCAAAGTAATACAACACTTTTAAGTGCAATAAGTTACATGTCCAGGAGCGTGGTAGGGTGATGGTCAAGGCTGGTAGTTTCTGCGGCCTTGTGGAGTATTGTTGATCCATGGAATTTGTTGCTAGTCTCTCGCCATTTTTCGTGGCGGTGGTGTGTCGGACTTTTGTTTTCCGCTCTGTGAAGCAGGGATGGGGATGTTCCAGTCTTCCAGAATCTGTATGCCGTCTTCAGGCGTGAGGATTGTGCGGTCTGCTCCATTGCGTTTGACGAGTAGTTTAGTAGGGAAGCCCCATTTGTATAGGATATTGGCGTTTCTGAGGGCTGTTGTAATCGATGTAAATGAGCGTCTTTTGGTCATCGTGGCTGCTGATAGGTCAATAAATAGTTTTATATCCGTGTATTCTTCTGGTAGAGATGGATTGAGTCTTGACGTTTGCATTATTTGGTCCTTGACCGTAAAATAGTGGAGTCTGGTTATGACGTCCCTTGGTATGGTAGCGGGCAGGTGCCGTGGCTTGGGTAGCCTGTGGGTCCTGTCCAGGCGGAGGTCTGCGTCTGTCATGGATGGGATCAGAGATTTGAACAATTTTTGCACATAATGTGTAAGATCCTGTGGGCTGACATTCTCAGGTATACCACGGATCCTTATGTTATTTCGTCTGTCCCTATCCTCATTATCTGCTATTTTTCCTTCCAGATATTTAACTTTGTTTTCCAGTGCTGTGTGTGCATCTGCTAGCTCATTGTGAGCAGTTAGGATACCCTCCGTGTTTTCTTCTAGATGGGCTGTTCTGTCCCCTATTACTTGTATGTCAGCTCTAATGTCTGCAGCTATGCGCTGGAGATCTGAGAATAGGGCTGATTTTAATTTATCCAGCATAGTACTCACTGAGGCATTCGTGGTAGGGATGGAGGCTTCACTGCTGTGATAGCTTTGGGAGTCTTCCCCTTCTGCCTCGTGTGTGGGTGAACCATGCGGTCCGACGCCATCTTGGTCGCCTGAGTGCTCCGGTTGTTGCGAGCTCAGATGTGAGTCAATCGTTTTTTGCTTTAATTTTTTTGACGATTTAGTCGTCATTATGTTCGGGATGGGGTTGGCGGTGAGATGGGCTGAGTTTGGTGGCGGATTTGCTGCGATACACGCTGTGGGGCCCACTATCTTGGCGGAGCTCTCCTTCTATGCGACTGCTTCCATGCGGTCCGTGGCCACGCCCCAATAATCTTAATTTTAACAATCATAGGAGGTGAATATTTTCCCCACTTTTTATCTCTTCCCTCCCTTAGATATGGGTCATGTTTTGTTCAGGTAAGTTCTTAGTGAAGTATAATGTGCGAATTGATTGTTTTCGATCAAAATCTATCTGTGGTATTTCATTCAATATCTAAAATTGGGTAGTTAACTTGTGTGTACATAGTATATCTATTGCATTGTTATGTCTTTAGTCTAACTGGTATTAGTTTGAGTAACTATTGCTGTGTACTATGTCATGATTAGTTGTGATAGTGTTCAATTATTACACGTCTTTCATGTTATAGTTACTCATGTTGTTCATGATTACATTTAATAGCACTAAAACCTTCTTGGTCTCTTTCGGCTTAACACAACACAACAATCTTCTTCATGTCAAACATACGAAGACTATTCAAGGTTTCCAGTTTTATTTAATTTGTAAAATAGAATTATACATTTATAACTCCCTCAACTCAATTTTAATTTAATTTTAATTATTTTATATTCAGTGTGGGTCCTCTTTATTACAGGCCTACCACATACGTTGGTTTCGGCACACTTCAACCGACTTCATCATATCTATAATTTACATCAAACAATACATACGCTAACGTTACAAGAATAGCAACGAACACAAATATATATATATATATATATATATATATATCTATCTATATATATATATATAGATAGATATATATATATATATATATAAATACAATAATGTGTGTATGTGTATATAATTAAGTATTTTTATTATACATATTATGATTTTATTTTAGTTAGTTTTAAGTTAGGGGAACACAATCTGCTATGTCACCCTGTGGCTTTAGAGCCCACATTTTGCAAGACGTCATAGCACACCCGCCATCCTTAAGCTGTAGGGACATGCTATAAACACCAGAACACCTACATTAGGCAATAGTGATTCTGGTGACAAAAGTATCCCTTTCAGTGTTA